AGAAAATAGCAGGTAGAGTCTGTTTTCCTGTTGTCTGGTGGGTTTATGTGGAACACAGGTGGGAGTCAGGACGAGCGTCTGATCTCGCTGAAGGGACATTTATTAGATTTGAACTTTCTGTGTGCAAAGACTGCAGGATGTGGAAAGTTCACCTTGGGTATTAAAGCTGCTGTTTTGCTTTTGGAACCGGGCTGAAAGTTGGCAGTGGAGGCAGAATCCTGAGTGTTTCCCACCCAGCCTGTCCAGCTCCCTCTGGCAGGGAGGACAAACTGCTTCAGTTATAGTTGAGCAGATCCTGATTTCTGTTTGGCATCATTTCCATCAGCTCAGGAAGTGAAGCCTCTAGATCTGAAGAACAAAAAGAGACCACTAGGGGTTCACCTCATCAGCTAACTGAATGCTGTGAAACACTGTTCAGCCAGGAAGTATTCAGAGAGCACGTATGTAGCTCAGACAACTTCGCACCATCCTCTAATTTATTATAGTTATTTTGATCAAGTAAAATGTTGAGAAAAGGTTCTGGATTCAGATCTGCATCAAAATACACAATACCACATGTATCCCATAATAGCCCTGTGATAGACTGTTGATGTGTCCAGGGTGTACTCTGCCTGTCGCCCAGTGTCAGCTGGGATTGGCTCCTCTTCTTCTTCTCACTTCTATTATTATTATTATTATTACATTTTTATTTTTTTGAATGTGATATTTATTAACCTTCACTCTTCTTTCTATCTACCCCTCAGAGCTGGCCTGCAGGAGAGCGATGTCATCATCAGCATCAATGGCGAGCGAGTCACCTTGGCCAGCGACGTCAGTGCCGCCATAAAGCGGGACGATTCGCTGCGAATGGTGGTGAGGCGGGGCAACGAGGATGTCATCCTCACCATCGTCCCCGAGGAGATTGACCCTTGACCTCACAGCTGACTGAACAACCTTAACCGGTCAACCAATCTTGAGCTGGCTCTCAGTGTTTTTCAACCAATCATGAACACTTTGAAAAACCAAGCAACCAATCAGGGCATGTGTGTCCGGGGCCACACCTACTGCGTTTAAGAACTTGTAATTATTAGTACTGCTACTTCTCTTACATGCTATTATGCTCACACGCACACCTTCAGAGGTCCAACTTCATAACCCTGGGAAGTGAAGCTTCAAGCCTTTTGTCGTACTTCTCACTTTAGTTTTATCTTTTCCTCTAATGCCCATTTACTTTCCATCATCACAGACCTTTGTATTCTACTAATACTATCTTTCGCTACAAAGCAGTTACTGCAGGTTACCGTAGTTTTGTTGTGTATGTTCTTGATGGAATATTTTTTAATAGTGTTTTTGTTTCTATGTGTTTGATGACAATTTTTCAAAAAAGGGAATAAAATTATTTTTAACAATGTTGTCTTTATTAATAGTGTTGATGTAACTGACAGCTAGTTCCTCCCTCAGTCAGAAGGGATGAACAATAAGCATAACACAATAAGCATAACACAGTTTTGTGCTACCTTTGAATATTCTGTAAACGTGTATTCACATTTCCATTTTCCAAAAGCGTTTAGTTAACAACAATTTAAACATATCCTAAATGAAGGCCATAAGTTGCAGATAGGAGTTCCTCAAGGCACAATACACTTCTAAATTAATCTTTGAACCATTAGCTGCCATTCTCTGTGGTGCAGTTTCACCCGGTCCGTCACAACGGGCGATCTAATGGACAACCCAAAGCAAGAGTCTAGAGTTCTACCAGCAAAAGTCTGTTAGTGAACATGAAACAGCACTGGTAAGGACTTGGTCGGCCACCAGCTGCTAAGAATGTTGCCATTAAGTGGAAAATGCCCCTACCTCTCCCTAGAAACATAAATTCAATCTATCGTTTCCACAACAACGTTTCAATTTTGTAGTAACGTAGTGGTGAACATGCTGTAAAAATGCATTTAGAAGAAACAGATGTTTCCCTCAGGAGTTAGTGGAGGCTTAAATCTACATATAAATGACACCAAATTAGTGAACTTTGAATTTAGAATATTTGAACACAGACAAATAAACAATGTCACCATTAAAAATGCCAGAGAAGAAACTGAACCCCAGCAACCGAGCCCTGTTCACCAGGAGACCAGGAAAACAAGTTGAGAAAGAACTCCATCATCTCTCAAATATGTTGTTCTCCGCTGTGTGAGTCTGGCGTGTCATCCCTCTGTGCCATGTTACACACTGAAAGGCAGAGTTCAACAGAGCATGACACAATCTGTTGGCCCCAGTGTATATGTGTGTGTGTGTGTGTGTGTGTGTGTGTGTGTGTGTGTGTGTGGGCCCAGTGGAGCAAAGGTGTTATGTCACACTTGACACAGTTAATACAGGGAGGTTAGTGATGTGTGCTGTGTGCAGGTTCATGCAGGAGGTCAACTGATGACACCCCCAGTGTCAGGGGTTCCACATTGAGAGCGTCTAAGCTGAATGGATATTGAAGATTTTAGCATTCAACAACTGCAGCTCCAGATGCTTTCACAGCATGCCAGTTACTAATCATGGAAACGAGTTGCTGTTTTATCTTTGACACTGTAAAATATTAGTTAGTTAGTAGATGGAATTCCATATTCTAAGTTAAATGAGTATCTACTTTTGATCTATAAAAGTTAAAGAATATTGACAGAAAATCCCAGCACCATGCTTCAGCTTTTCTTATTTTAAAACTGATCAAAGACCATTGAAAACCTATTGAATTATTTGTTTGTCATTTTTACATCCTCAATTCAAATTCTTCTGCTTATGTACAGCCTGCAACAATTTCCTCAAATCAAATGTATTATATTATATGATTAGAATTAGAACCATAGATAAGAATGGAGTTAAATGGCCAAAGGGCTACAAATAAAAAAATTCACAAATGCACTCTGGATTTACACTGGCTTTGTGGAGTTATGATAATCATTTTCATCATTTTTTAACCCTTTTATCACTAGTGTGGAAACACGTTCGTACACGATCGTCTGTGCACATGTTTAGTCTCTGGGGATGTTGAAGTGTATTCAGACATGGTCTTGCAGCTAATTTTGCTTGGCCATGCTGAAGAATCGTTTTTTTCCATCTGTGATGCAGACGTGGCTGAAGAGCTGACACACAGACACAGAGTCAGGTTGAAAGGTAAAGTGAGTTCACCATTTAAAAATGAATTCCAACTGTTCATCTCTTGCTGGAATGCAGATAGAAGACATTCAGCAGCAGGAGAAGCTGTGCACAGACTTTTCCTCTCACTGCGGCTCCAGAGGGATGTGATGTGAATGGAACCAGCGACCCGGTTTGTCCTGATAGACAGAGCAGATTTTCCTCCAGAACTCTCCACTGCTGACTCAGTGTAAGTCCTCCACATGCCTAACAAAACATCCGTGCATCACTTTATAATTTGCTGTCTTCCTTATGTAATCTCCGACCCATTTCATTTCTGATGACTCAGCCCACAGCTGTCAGTTGGTTCGCTGCACCATCTCAACCATCTCCTCTGTTTCTCTTTACACTTTGGGAACCAGGCCCTTCCATGCAGCAGGATGAATTCTGGACTGGACTAGACTGGACTACTGTGGTTCTCCACATTAAGAAGACTTTCAGTGACCTTGATGGTTCATTTCTGACCCATTCATGACTCAGCATTACTGGAACACTTGGCGGGAAACATCGGCTAAGTTGATTTTACCTTTTCGGGAAACTCTTGAGCAACATTTTCCTCCTGCCATTGTTGCCCACATCTAATATCCACAACCCAGCATTGTCAAGTTTTAAAAGTATTTTCTGACTCATATATTTTGGTTAGAAAATACAGCACTGGAGCCCAAATTGACCGCCAAAATGTTCTGCTTGTTGCAGTTGCCATATTTTTCCAAGATTTATTACTTTTGCCATTTGCTTTTTAAAACTTTTTGCATATAATTCCTATTTTTTTTATATTTTTCCTTCACATCCCACATCATTCATTCATCTGTCCTTTATCCTCTAAAGAGCCTTACTGTCCTACAACTTTCTAATTAGGAAAAGCAAGACAATTAGTTCTTACAAACTATTATCTTGCTCAACATAGTGATCTCACTTTTTCTTCTTTCCTGCACATTTACTTATCTTTGTTTTAATTAGTACTGTAGAATACATCCATCTGTATAAATATATTTTTATTTGCTATTTACGTCAGTACAGTTATTAAAACCCACATCACAGGTCAAAAGTCATTTTATAGTTTACACTGGGAGATAAACTTTATGTTACAGACATGTACATTATTTAAAACATTACAGTTCCATATTAAAATCCATTTTAATCACTTACACCCTCTATATACACTCCTGGAACAGGAGTACGTGTATTCATTCTGAGGCTTTTCCACAAGTGTCAAACCAAGCTAACCAGAACACTTGACAGCAGATCAGTGCAATTACAGAACAGACTGTGAAGGATAATAATGTTACTTAACGTACAGCTGATGTTTGGGTGGATCACAGGAGGATGAATGTGTGGAATATTTACATGCACATGCATTTTGTCAATAAATGAGTGTTCTGCTGGTGTTACACGTAAATCATTACTATGTTAAACATGTCAACTATAACCTGGATAAGATCCCATCACTGCAATAATATAAAGCTGTTTCTTCTGCGTCTCTGAACCTGGGTTGTAACTGAAGGTTTCCTGCAGACTATCCTTAATTTAACTTTATTTTCAGTTTTGGATGGCCTTTTTTCTTTTTTCTGGTACTATTCATGCGGCCAAACCTTCCCAGAATGCAGTGCAGCCACAGGACATGTTTTTTGTTAGCGATCTGGATATGGGATTTCTGTAATTATAACTTCTTTGTTTCCGTAGTTGAAACTATTACATCATGTCCACAAGCTGATGAGACAATACTGCTGTGCATCAAGGACATTCACGTCAGCTGTCACACAGTGTTGCATTCACTTGCTTTTTTTTTTTTTTTTTTGTTTTTCTTTATACAAGGATACAATATTAACAAAAACCATTAATGCATCTTTAACAGTTGGAGAACTCAGTGTCGGTGATGGGATTTTCCATCAACTGAGACACTTCTGGTTGAACACGATTTTCCATTATGCAGATTATTGCAATTACTGTGTTAATTTTTTGTGAATTTCCCATTTCAGCCTTTTATCTGTTGCTGTGTCTCTGTTAGTGACTGCGTGCTGCTCTGCCTCCCCTTTGACACTAAGGTCTGGTTTGAGGAGGACCAGGGGCAGTAAGGCCTCCAGGTTACATGTTGAGTTAGTCTTTTAACTGTTCTGAACTCAGTGCATGGCTGGCGTTGGGGCAGTGAGCTCCGCAGGGCCGGTGGATGCCGGTCCTCCCGCCGAACTGCTGATACCGCCCTGGTTCAGTGCGACCATCGGCAAGGCGCTCAGCAGGGCCTTCTCCAGCTTCTGCTCCAGAGCGTCTAAGCGACGGTCCACGTGCTCCTTCAGCCTCCTCTCCATCTCCTCTAGGCGCTGCTCCATTGCTGAGTCCAACTCCCTGTGGAGCAGGGGGGTGGGGGGGCAATGAGGTAACATTTGATTAAAGCAAAGTGCATTCACAGTAAAGTTTAATTCCAAGATGAGGCATGCACTCTTTGATACCACTGAACCTTTCGCTAATGTGCAAATAAAATGAAAACTGGATAACTGTGTATATAATTATCACAGTTAGGAGCCACTTTAAGACCTTGGCTGTGTGAAAGGCCTTATAATGTCTCTGGCTGTGTCCAAAATCACTCCCCTGTTCAGTAATTAACCACAGCATCCAAGCAGCAACTCCTTCCCAGCAGTGGTGTGCACTTTGCTTTATCAGTTTAAGGGAAGATACATAGACAGAAATCAATGTATCTAAACCCTTCTATGACTAAAAGGAGCAAAATACTAGAGCCCTATCTAATCGCTGCTCCTGTAAAGACTGGCCATTTCTTACTGTGCATGTATAATAATGTATAAATGTATATAAAACTTTGTTGCAGCAGCAACTGCAAAGCATTTATGGAATTCACCTATTGGACACTATTTAAAAACCTGTTGTCACTGATTCTTCCTCTTCAGTGATGACTTAACACATCACTTCCACTATATACCTATAAAAAGTGACCTGGTCAAGCTGAACCAAGGCAAACCTTTGCATTTATAATAATACCAGTTTAATAACATCTGCTAATCCATCCACTCACTGAAAACCTTGTCTGAACAGGAATGCCAATTGCTGCTTCATTTTTCTCTCAGAACTTGTTAATACTAGTTGCCGCTTGTTCTGATAATAACTGTACTATGTGACTTGGTATTAGGCAGCAACATGAGAGGAGAAAGGAGGATTATTTAGGATTATTATTTAGGAGTAGACAGGGAGCTGAGCTGTCATCGATCCATGAGCGTGAGGCCACATCAGAGAAAAAAAAACCCAAATATAAACACAGACACTAAAACTAAACCACCTGTACAATCAATGCTGACCCTAAAAATCCTTCTGTGCATACTTTACTCAGGCAGATTTCTTTCTGTATGAAACTCTCAGACAGCTGAGTGTGGCTGTGAATCATCCTAACCACCTGGGGGGAAAATTCAAAACCAAGATACTTCACAAAACATCTCTTTTTCCAGCTTCTCAAACATTTCCAGTCTCTTTTGCATGTCTTTGCATTTGGGGTTTCTAAGCAGATTCCAACACCATTACTTTTTACCCTCAAGGATCTTGAAGAATCTTCAAACCACTTCCAATCCCACTGCTCCCACAGCTCCAGTAATTAGGCTTCTGTTACAACCAGAGAAAATCCTGACTGCTGCTGCTCTTTTACACTGTGGTTAAACTCCACCAAAGTCCATATCTGATCCTTGCTGTCTGTCTGCTCAGCAATATTTATTATACCCTGCTGTTAAAGGGGAAATCCCCTGTGTTACAAAGCAGCTGTTAGTGATGTAAATTTGATAGCTTTGTTAGTTCATGTTTTTTTCTGTGCAAGTGATTTTACGAATCATTGATAAGGTTTTAGTTAAAGTCAGAATTTGGTAAGAACTCCATTGTAGAGGTATAATAGGGACAAATTTATGCAACCACAGAAGCAGGATAAAGATCAGAATGCAATGCAGCTGCTGCCTCGGTTCCCCAAAATGCAATGCAGCTTGAAGACACGTCAGAGTTATAAGCCAACACATTACTCTTACAGTATCTCCACTGTGAATGAAACTTATTTCTATTACCAACATCATTGCTCCCTCCACCTACAAGGTGGCTACACAACTAAAAGCAACAGCTTCCTGCAACTGTCAAAAGGCATTCTGGGAAATGTAGGAATTGTTTAAAAGTAAGTAAAAGAGGCAGGTACAAAAGTAAAACAATAAAAAGTACAATTTAAACATTTCACTATAGCTAACTGTTATCATGTTACAATTTTCTTTACAAATTACAATTATATTTGAATTTTGTGCTGCCAAATACTTTCTCACAGTAGATGTTACTTTTCCCTTTTCTCTGGAATCTAATTTAGTGTATTAATCTCTCTAAAGGTTTAGCCTGTGGTAAGTTGACTGATGTTTAGTGGTGAAGACGTACCGCTGAGCTGCTGTCCTCTCCTCGATGTAGAGTCAGACTCAGCTGACGTTCTCTGTCAACCCACATGTGCTGTTCTGCTCTGACAAAGAGCCTCATTTATCAAACTGCAGCAGTGTGTGTGGCACCAGTTCAAAAAAACATTTTTCAATTTTGAATTGAAACTAACATCAGCAGTAAATCAAGTTAGCTGACACCGAGACTTTGCATCGGTGTCGATTCAAATGTAATTTTTTCAAATTGGTTTGGAGCAGTTTGCCAGAATTTTAATGAGTCACACATTCAGCACTGCTGATAAATGAACTGTATTGTCTCTGTGTCAGCCCTGTACTGTTAACTACCACTGGACCAACCCAGATCCTTCTGTAGCTGAGTCTGTCAGTTGCTCACTAACCAGAATGTTTTCTGAAAAACAACATGATAAATTCAGTGACTATTTCCATGTATTCTGATCTATGAGATCTATAAGTCTGATCAATGTGGGATTGTTGCCGGGAACCTTTGAGATCTGCGAATATTCTATCATGAAGCAGTGGGAGATGTTTGGGTGTCTGCTGACTTTCAGCTAACAATGTGACATCAGACAACCAAAACTATTGTCCCATGAAATCCCAATAAATGAGTCTCTGTTTCATCCACGTGCTTTTCCCCCTCGACAATGTGACTGTGTGACAATGATTTGGCAACAATAACTGAACACAGTGATCAGAAATGCTTAGCGTTTCTACCGCAGTACTTTCAGTTTAATCAGGAATTAAACAGCCTGTTTACAGGGACATAAACATCTACACAGCTGCTCACTTTTGAGGAAAAGCTAAAGAAAATGAGCAGAGGCCTAAACTGTGACTTCAGACCGTGTTTATCGGGAGAATTTGTTGGGCTCGCTCACTGTGTGTAGAACGGATGTGATGGAAAGTGAGAGCAGCTGTGACTCCAAAACTCCCCACAACAAGAAGTAAACACAACAATTAGTCTAACTCTATGAAAGTAGACTTAAAAAAAGGTTTTAGTTTCTAAAATCAATCACATGACATTTCTGCCTGGTTGCGGGTGATATTGTAATAGCAAGGCAGTGAAGGAGCTTAAGCAAAAATCTCACCAGGTTCTGCATGCCAGCAAACTGCTTTATCCTTTTTAGCAAGGCTGCTATTTTACCTGATCTTGCCTTGATGTGATCTGGTGTATACTGCCAGCAGTTTTAAGGGCAATGTCAAGTTTAGTTCAGTGTTGTTGTGGAGACTGTCCTTAATGACCAAGACAAGAGGCAGTAAAGGATGGACCATGAAGTGTGGCTGTGTATCTCACTTTAAAAGGAATATCTACACTTTGAATTCCAGTATAATACTCATTCTATATCTACTAGTAGCGGTACTAGTAGTAGTAGTAAGGATAGTAGCATAGCGTTGTAGTAACAATTATAAATAATTATCTATATAGCAATAATTATTTATTAGTATTGATGATTTAAAATATTTAATTTATTTTTAAATTGCCTCCATGTTTCTTAGCCTCAGTTATCTGAGTGTTTGTCTACAGGATCCAAGCAGTAACATCTTTCTTACACTAGGTGGAGCTAATTCATCTGATCATCAACATGGAGCTACTTCTTGATATAGTGAGATGGAATCAGATGTGAGTGTGAGAGGTAAGGGTGACTTTATTGACCAGTTCAACCAGCAGAATAATCTAAATTTGGGTTTTAGTTACTCTGAGCAGCAGCAGGAAGTTGGTACTGAAACATGTATCAACAGAAACTTCTCAATTTTCACTTACCATGTGCCATTTCTCATCGTCTTCTCCTTCTCTGCCGCTGCTGCAGCATCATCCAGCCTCAGCTGCGTCACCTGACCGCAGACGCTCTGGAGCATGGGCAGAAGTTCAGGGCCGGGGCTTAACGCCTGTCCGTGTCCTTGACCCTTCAGGAAGTGTGACATCATCTCTGCCAGCTGGGCATGGCCAATGCTGTCACTGCTCACTAAGACGGAAAAAAAAAAGTAGTTGGCTACATTATTAAAGAAAACGTTTTGGTTAAAAAAAAAACGACAGTGTGTAGCAATGAACACAAGAGATATCGTTTTCATGCCTGTCAAACCTTTTTTCCATGCCGGTGCTGTGTTTACAGTTTCCTTCAAGTTTGATTTGAGTATTTTTCTTTTTTTGATCCAAGCAAAACAGTTCATGGAAAGATTTTTAAATAAATACTGACAAATAATGACATCACAAATTTGAGGTTCCAAAGTCAATTTTCATTTCTACATGTACACGACATCAAATGCAAATGCTTCAGCACAAACGCCTGGTGAAGTCATTTTTCCTGAGTCTACTCCGTGTTGCCTTCATTGTGCATGAAATCACAATCCTTACCTGTGTTCTTAATGTTGACACCAGACAGTAGACGGTCCGGAGACGAGGAGGTAGAGCCGTTTGACATCGATCCATTCTGAGCCGGTGGAGGTTCGTCTGCAGGGCTGGTGAAGCCCACTGGAGGCTAAACACAGAAACAAGACTCCCTGAAACTATCCAATACATATAGTATACGTAAACATACCTGAACCTGCGTTTGACTGACATCAAGTTGATAATGGACATACTAAAGAAGATACAATCACTTTACACAACTTTGGCTGCAAATCTGAACTGCTGTTCAGCAACTACCCCATTAGCTGAATTGTGAGTTAATTTGTTGGTGCTGTGCTATAATTAATCATAATGCCTTATAAAGAGCAACAGGAGGAGCACTAGATGTTGAACTTTTGCACTTGTACTATACACTGGATGATTTCCCTATCTGGTGATAGGCTTCTTAATTCCACACTACAACCAACACCAAACAGACCAGTTTAAACTTCCACTGTTGCTTGCCAACCAATGCCCCCTTGTTGTTTGTCACGTTGTTTGACTGACAGATTTTTTTGTTTAGTTTTCTAGCTGTAACTGAGGGAAACAACAGCACAGATAATACTGATACCGCAGATTCTGCAGATGGGGTTTGGTTGTCAACGGCTGCTGGGGAGATGTTCGCTCCTTGAGCCAGGAAAGACAAAGCTCCACCTCCCATCAGGAGAGGCAGGAAACCGCCCAGGGAGCTGGTCTGGTTCTGGAAAGAAACACACATCAACTTTACTCTAGGTTGATTTCTGTACTGTAGATACAGAGTGAAGTTGTCAAATTTGAAAACACATTTTGATGTTGCTTTCCAGGATACTATGTCATCCAAGGTTTGGGCCAGATGCAGAAAAGCATCATTTTAATTTGCTACACTGTCAGAAAATCAAATCCAGAGGACAAACTCAGCATGCCACTCCCACATCTGAATGTCAGAGCATTCTTGAACACAAAGTGGGAGAGACTTTGAAACAGTCCCTGCTTGTGTGTTTACAGTATCCAGTATACAGTTTACTTTCATTACAAACTGAAATGACCTGAAACCAAATGCTACCTTGGATTCGAATAATAGTGTAAAACCTTATGCCACACTCTGGAGAACAGTCAGCAGTCACTGCTCCTTTACTCTCACCTTTTGCTGGAAGTGGACCATGTCCATGAGGTTCTGGGCTCCTGGTGAGAGGCTCGTTCCCATCTCTTCAACCAGACATTGCACCTGCTGCATGTCAATGCCAGGGCCACGGACTGGGCAGGGCTGCAGCGGTTTAAGACCCACGATGACTTGAGACACCAGGACACTACTTCTACCAGCCAGGGAGAGCAGCTGGAGACCGAACAGAGGGAGACAGAACCAAACTCATAGTCATATACAAATATAAATGTAACTGGATGAAAAAAAGTGCCCGGTCCAAGGCAATGACATGAGGTGTGGAGTGACATTAAAAGCTGTCTAAACAGTTTACAGGTGTCAATACTAAAATTAAGTTTAGAAGATGCTAGGGTATCTAATATACCAACACTAAGACAGCTTACAGCTTGTACTCTTTGTGTTAGGACTGACCTCTGACCCTGAACCTAGCTCACCTTCACTTCACAGGCAGATGATGGGTGTTCCAGGACCAGCCGTTTCCTGTAGAAAGGCCCTCTGTCCTCACTGTGAGCAAGGAATAAAGGAGATGCTGCTTCAACATCCAAGACATATTATCAGAACTAAATAATAATAAAAACAGTAAATAAAAGAATAAATCTATCTGTGTCAATTGATTTTTATATACATTTATTGCATTTTATCTTGTATTCATCAATTGTTACTAATTGATTGGACATATGAAGAGACAGTAGGGGTGACATGACATGTCACTGACTAAATTCAAACTCCGGATGAACTAACTATGCTAATAACTGACACTTAAAACTGATTAATACCAATGGAACTGAAAACTTATTTTGTGTAGATTTTAAAAAACTAAACTACTATTACTACTACCTGTCTGGCTGGATGCTGTCATCCCTCTCCCCCCGTACCGTCCCACAGTATTCTCCCATCTGGTCATACAGCTCCATGGTTCGAGCCTCGCTGATGACCAGCAGGCGGCTGATGGCAGCAGGGGAGGTGGGGCTACAGTGGACAGTCAGGACACAGGGAGACCCCTCCTCGGTCTGCTCCAACAGCACAGGACTGCCCCTGAGAGGGACAAAGATTAGTGTTTAAGGTGCAGTTCACTCAAAAAACTAGGAAATTCACCTCTCAGTCATCTTACATTAGTAGAAACTGTGGTAACATTTCTTTGCCCATGTTACACACAAGTAAGGCTACAAACGTCTTACCTGTTTGTCCCGTTTCTCTCTGACTGACCCAACTCATCTTCATGATCGTCTTCATCATTGATGTGAACAGGAAGCAGGACATCTGCCAGGTGATGTCCCTCTGCATGACAGACCCAAGCAGCTCCACTCTTCACAGCAATATCCACCATGATGTTGCTGAGTCCACAGGGACTGTAACCTACTAGGAGACAAGCTAGGACACAGGACAGGAAACAACTTAGGAGACAAGAGTAAATAAAAACAATCAGGAGACCATTTGGAGCAAAAGTTTAAGTTGTGAGACAAGGCTGAATCAAGATAGACATAAGATGAGTTAGAAGTTAAGAGATAAGCACAAAGCTAAGAGACAATTTCAGGAAGACTTCTTTCAGGCAACTTCTGATTTTTTTTTTTTTTACACAAATAAACTTTAAGCCGCTGCACTATAGCTGTATCTGACATGTTTAGCTTCCGATGTGCATATTTTGTGTAGATGCTTGTTTTTTTCCCTTTAACTGGAATATTTTATACAGTAACTGAGAAATAGCCTTTGACAGCTGCATGATGTCGGGATGGTTTGACTAGTATCTTTATTTCAAAATTGTAAATTCCAGTCTACATTACATTTAGACGTAAATCAAGCCTTTGCAACAACAGCAACAACTGCAAATAACCAATCTAGCTGCTAAAATTAAGCCATAACAGTACTGTTCACAATTACCTTGAAATCGCTTCAGCTCAAACCGTTGATTTAGCTTGTTTGCAAAGCGTTTCTGAATTCTGTTCTTCGCATTTCTTCAGGCCCAATCAAAAACCATTGACTTAACTCGTGTCGGAGGCAGATACAATGACAAAACGGCGAATTTTAACCGGAGTTACCGCTAAATCCTAACGTTAAATCCAACGCACCGAACTACAGCTGCCGTGTCGCATGCACCCGACGCATTGTTGTGGTGTGACGTCAATAAAGAGCGACGGAACAACGACGGTCACATCACAAGACCGTTGTTGCTTTGACACTGGGTAAAAAAGCACTTTTATTCGAGTTAAACTAATTATATATCGTGTCACATTTAATTAAAACTGTATGTAGTGTTGTGTGAAGGAATGTCAAGAGTTTACGGCGTTAGTGAGGCGGCTGGAGTTGTGTTTTGATGTCCCGTAAGGATTTATCTTCTATTTCTATTGCTAACTGGCAAACAGACAATGGCATGATAACTGTTTCTGGGGCAGGGGATGGACTTCACGGAGTGCTACAGAGACACCGTTTCCAGTGTTGCTGCTGCAGCTCGTGCAGGCTGCAGGAAGCGGGTGAGGAGGCTGATAAAGCGGGGCTGCAGTGTGGATTGTCGGGACAACCGCGGCTGGAACGCCTTGCATGAGGCAGCAGCAGCTGGCAGCACGGAGTGTGTGCTAGAAATTTTGTCTGCTGTCGGCGGTAAGAAAACGGCCTAAACCAATCCAGGGTTATAGATCTGTTTATTTCTCTTGGCAAAAGACGAATCTTTATTGTTCACGGTTTCCTTTTGCTTATCTGATGGCAAACCACACAACTGGGACGTTTCTCACTGTTTAGTATCCTGAATTACTGTCTTAACAGTCTTTAACTTAACTACTGATTGTTTGATTGTTGTTATTTTTTTCAGATGGTCATTTAATCTATAAAATAGTAAAATTGCTCCAAAAATCTAAGGTGACATTTTCAAATTGGACTGGGACTGCAAGTAATGATTACATTTCATTACTGAGTAATCCTTTCCTATCAAACGTAAGAACAAATGTGCATAATATCCCTCACACAGAGGTTATGGTGACAGATTAAATTCCAAAACCTACATTAAAAGGATAGAAAACAGAGAAAACAGAAAATCCTCAGATTTTAGAAGCTGGAACCAGAGAATGTTTTGAATTCTTGCTTGATAAATTATTTACACGATTAATTTTCAACCAGTCATCAAACTTGTTATCAATATATTTTATTATATATATATTGAATGAATATATTAATCTGAATGATGAATCACTCAATTCTTTCTGTGCTAGTTTATGAGATTTACTTTAAAGTTAAGACACAACTTTTGTTTAAGTTTTTCCTGTTCTGACTGTGAGCAGCAGGCTCCTCCCATGGCTGTCGTGCCTATGTGAACTCTTTGACACATGAGGGGGAATCTGCATGTTACCTGGCAGCACAGCGTGGACACCTGGCAGTGGTCCGACTCCTCCTGAAAGCACATGCCAACATCAACCAGCTAACTAATGATTTGTCCTGTCCTCTGTATGCAGGTATAACACATGCACATCACCTTTTGCACTGCTTTTACCCTTGTATGCTGTTCTGACCAAATGAATTTTGTTTTTTGGATAATGAAGTTAAATTTGATTGAATTAATTCCACCTGCAGTATTTAACAGCTGCTAATTTCCAACAGCTGTAGATGGCGGACACAAGGAGGTTGTGGAACTGCTGGTTGGTAAAGGTGCAGAGGTCAACAGAACACACACTGCGTCCTGCTGGACCTGCCTTCATCAAGCTGTTTATAAGGTAATAATAAAACTCACAAACACACACTCACCACTGTGTGGTGTATCCCGACTATTAACTTGACTATTAATGAACTTACTCTCTTACTCCCTTAGGGTCACAGTGAAATAGTGCGCATACTGGTTGATGTATGCAACTTGGAGGCACTAGACGACCACAGGATCTCCCCTCTCTTTGTGGCTGCACAGTATGGACAGCAGGAATGCCTAGAAATCCTTGTTAATGCTGGTAAAATATTTTTCTTCATGCTTTCATGTGTGTACACATTTGCTCATAGTTTAGTATTGATATGTTGCAATTTGCTGCTGAGTAGAGACATTTATTGTGTCAAACCTACTCCCTGCTTCTTCTTTTCACTCCTGTCTTAATAATCTAGTAAAATGGAATACATAATGAGTTTTGTTTGATTTGGTTTTCACTTAAGGTGCCGATGTGAATACCCAGGCAGCTGATCTGGCTACACCACTGCTGATTGCTTCCCAAGAGGGTCACCAGGCATGTGTGGATCTCTTGGTGGACCATGGGGCAGATCCTAATAGAACCTGCAGCCAGGGCTGGCCCCAGTTTCCCATTCATGCTGCTGCTGAGTTTGGCCACATCGGGTACTGACTTGTAATTGTCTTGTCTTGTCTTTTATTTAGGCATTGTTGGGCAGTATATAAGGTTATAACCTCTTTAAAAAGAAACAGTATCTACTTGTGATCTCTCATCACATGTTGCATTTGTCACAAAAAGAGTATTTAGGGAAACAGTATTCTTCATAATTTTGTACCTCAGAAAAAATTTTTCTTGTCGATCCCTTGATCTTGCAACAGTCACTCAAGAGTACAAGTAGAACTTTGTGCAATCATTCTTTCACACCAGCCGGCCTCAGTCATAATATCAGTGTATCATCATTAGGGCTACAACTAATTACTCTTTTCATCATTGATAAGTCTGTCAGTTTTTTTTGAACAATTGATTAATCATTTAGCATATGTCAGAGAATAGTGAAAAATGTTGTTACAGTTTTTCTAAGCCCAAATTGATACTTTCTTATTGCTTGTTTTGTCCAACTCACAGTCTAATACCTAAGGATATCTTGTTAACAATAGAGAAAAGAAGCAAATCGTTTGACATTTTTTCTTGATAAATGACTGAAATTAAGTTAAATTCAGTAAGCAGAGCTGTGATTCATTTAATCTCAGCACTAATCATAACCTGATTCCAAACACACTGTACTGATTTTTGGAGATGCTATACGCAGTTTCACACAAATTTTTTACATTAAACGTCAATTCGTTAATTCTGTTGATGCAGTATCCTCAGGAAGCTGATAGCTGTTACGGATCGTGTGTGTGACCGCGGTGATGGCATGGTAAGTCCACTGTACGTGACCATCCACAACAGTCAGATCAAGAGTGTCGAGCTGCTCCTAAGTGAAGGCTATAGCCCAGATGCCCAGAACTGCACACACAACTTTGGCCTCCGTTCACCACTCGCCCTCGCCTTGTGTCAAATGTCCAACAAACCATACAGGTTTGTAAGAAAGCAGATTTAATCCACTCGCACTCCAACAACACACACAAAATAAGACAGATGTGTGTGCTATTGACTATGATTAAAATCTCTTTCAGTGAAATAGTGAGGTTGCTGGTAGCTGCAGGAGCAAGTTTGACTGAGGAGGACTGGATGTATGCCTTGGCCACTGACAAAACAGACTTTCTGCAGCTGATACTTGAGCACAGATTGATCCCTCGACCAGAGACTTTGATCAGGGACTGTACTGTATCACAACATCATGGGAAAACTGTGTTAAAGCTGCAGGAACTGAGGGAGCTGCTCTGTGTGGCACAAAACCAAGTGCATTTTGCTGCCTGTTGGCTTCCTCTGCTTCTGAAGGCAGGATTGGACCCTTCTCTACTGCTTCAACCCCACATGTAAGGCTCTCTTCTCCCTTTTGCTCCTTCTTTGGTGAGTTATCAGAGGGCGGTTCTTGATCAGTGTTTCTCTGTCCTCTATACTTTCTAGGTTGGAACAGGCAGACAACGAGGTATTGAATTACCTACTACAGTTTGTAAACTGGTCAACTCTTTCTGCCCCTTTAAAACATATTCTGAATGAAAGACGGGTGGAAAAGACCTGGGAACCAAGTCCATATTTAGGTACAATGACAATATATATACAGCAGTATATGCTCCTACTAATCTGTAGTAAACTTTGAATTGTAACTGTTTTTATTCTCTTTGCTCCCTCTAGACTCCATTCCCTGTCTTGCCCACATCTGCCGACTGCAGGTTAGAGCTGTGTTGGGACCAGATCTACTGATGACGACCAATATAGTCCATCAGCTCCCTGTGCCCCCCCCACTTCATGGCTTCCTTCAATTCAGGGATATCCCAGAAGCCTCCTACTCACACTCACCGCCATCACCACTTTCAAATCGAATAGAGGAATACTACAGTACACACCAACATAGACACGTTCTATAACCCCATCCAGTTTTCCCTCTATGTTGCTTTAAGGTTTGACAGTTTAAGACACAGTCCTGTGTGGAAGTTTTAGGCACTAAAAGTAAAGTGAGGATGCTTTCAATGCCATGAATATCTTTTATTTATCTATAAACTTAATACAAAGTGCAGTAAATGGGGAAAAAACTAACAGCACAGTTTCAGCCTCTCCTGAAAGCTATATGATATTAACAGTGCAAATTCAGACCTAAGAATCCATGTTTTTATGGCTTTCAATCAAATGGAAATATTTGCAATGTCTGTGGATCATTTTATACACATTTCCTCAAAATTTTGCTTATTTGCGTATCTTTGTAGAGTTTGGGGTCATAAGTATTTAAAATATAACTTTTGCGGGTTTCAACACAGTTCAACTATACAGGTGATGTTTAAAAAGATTAACAAGCACTTAAAAGATGACCTCATGATATTTCACCTGTTCTTATCAAACATCATTCTACTCATTTGCGTATTGCGATATAACCATTTAATTTGTATTCACATTGTTCGCCGAGGAGGCACCTTTATATGTTACATTTTTTTTGTAATTAAAGTAAATTATAAGTGAAATCATCGAAAAACAAGTGGTGATTGTTTTATTTATATATTGATATGCTCTGTTTGTGATATGAAAATAAAAGCCACTTGGTCACTCTCTGATTGGAGCAGACAGTTGTCATTAACAGTTAGAGCTGATCTGATTGGTTCACGTTATATTTTCTGGGACCTGGGATCTTTGACAGGAGGAAGTAGTGACGTGAGAAACCTGGGGTCGTTTCAGGAGGTTTACTTGATATAAAATAACGTCTGTAATGTAAGGCCGTTAAACCACAAGCTGAGGAAAGATATGCCTTAATGTATTTCATTCGTGAGTATGTTAAATGTTTGCTTTTCTCAGTGAA